TGTAGAGACTCATGGGGATTCAAATGCAGGGGGATGAAAAGGGTGATCGATGGCATTGGCAGCTCTGAGCATGTCAAAGAAAGGGGAAAAGCTACTCTGTTTTTGTGCTGTTAGAGATTAATGTGTTGCAATAAAATTCCTGAGCATAAAGGATCATTTTCATTAAAAGGAGAGGCAAGTCAAATAAAAAGAGAAAGGTTATGAATTTCCTGATATATGGGAATATGACCTGTGGTAGTAGAAGTAGCCTCATAATGGAAGAGAAGTGAAGATCTTAGATTGAAAAACAATGCTTGCTTACATATTTTTTCAGACTTGGACATTTCTGCCTGTAAACCATAGCAGCAGTATATTCAAACTGGAGTGTATCTTATGCCAGTCCTTTTGCAAACACCTTTCTAAAATATATGAAAAACATCGTATGGGTGGGTGATTCATCCTCGCCGTTCTCACTGGTGTGTGTTGCCAAGCTGCCTTGTTAGGAGCGGCTGCAATTTCATCTCTTGCCTTTGCTGGTGATTTTGTGCTTAGCAGGCTTGCAATCTTCTGATGACTGTTTGAGAAGGCAGTTTTCCATGTTACGGAGATGAGCACTTAAAGCAGCTCATAGTGTTTCAAGATGCTGTGGTCCGTGATGTAATGAGCTGTGCTCTTGGTCTGAGCAGGGAATTAATGACTTGTAATTTGTAGTTAATACAAAATGAAACAAGCACACGCCAGATGTAGGACACTGAGCCTTACCATTTAATTAAGGAGAAGCTAAGAGTGAAATTAGGGTTAAAATAGGCTGAATAGGCTGGTTATCGTTACGAAACAGTGAACTGATAGGTACATACTGGAGATAGGAAAACCTCAAATTAGTGTATGCTGTATAGATGACAGGGCCTGGGGGTATGGCTTGAGCCAATCTTACAGTAGCTTTCACTGTTGGGAAGATGATTTATTCTATCTTGTATGCAGACACATTATCCTGTAATTTTCAACTATCTGGCCTACTTTCTGTATATTCAGAGGAAAAAAAATAGGGAGAATGTGACCTGTCACAGCAGTTTACAGACTCTTTTTTTAGTTGTATTTTAAATTGTATTTTAAAAGAGTAATGATCAGACACTAGATACATTGAAAAATTATCTTTCAAGTTTTTGGTACTTGAAACCTGACTGTTAAATAATGAAAATATCAATACTGAGAAAGGGAATTCCTAGGCTACATACCAATCTTAGAACCCATGCTAATCTTTAGTCAGGGGGAAAAAAAACCAACCTTGTGGGTTTCTGAGAAAAATGCACTTCCTTGATAAGTTTTCTCTGTGCAAAGGATCTGTATGAGTATGTGTTTTGGTTCAAGAATTCTGTGAGATGCACTTCTTAAAAAGTAACTGAGTAGGAAAAGCTATTTATGTTTAAGAGTTCCTTAAAATATGAGCTGGAAAAAGCCTAAGTCGCCAGCTCTGATGTATTTCCATAGGAGAATTTAGGCACAGATTGTGGTGCCAGCATTACGAGTGCAATTGGTTTGAAAGATTCATGAGTAACAAAACACTGAAGCTGATGAAAGATACAACCACCCAAGTCATTTGTACTGGTGAATTTACCCCGGTGGTTACATGACTGACAGACAGGGCGCTTGGCTCGGTTTTCTTTGCTTTCTGTGGTTCAGACTCTCGCTGTTCTCAATACATTTCTTTGATTGGCATTAATGTTATAAAATTCTGCAAAATCCTCTTGGGTTGGTGTCGTTGTGCGGCTTTTAATGTTGATGTGTCCAAATTCAGTAATTTTTGTGCATTTGAAGAAAATGGCTTGATTTTTAAAAGTGGTGGAAGGTGCAGAGTGACTTTTGTACTTTAACATAGTCAGTGTTGTGGCAAGTAAACCAGGAGGGTAGCACTCAAAATCTACCCAGGCACATATTTCATACCGTACTTAAATTGCTTCAGCCAACTGGCTAGTCTGTAACTCTGGCTGCATTGCATATTTTTTTTCCTCATCCAAAATTCTGTTTTCCAACTAACCCTTTGTGCATCTTAATTATTTTTTGTTTTCAATTGTACACTGAATTAAAAGTTAGTATTAGAATCTAGAATTCCTGCCCTATAACAGGTAGAACTTGCAGTGCAAGGTACTGTGTGCAGGATAAAACTAACAGGAGCTTAAGAAGCCTTTGACTATGCCCTTGGTTTT